GATAGTGTGAGGTAAGAGTCAGACCTAAGGCCTGCAGGAGAAGTTGCCAGGACCACTTGCTGGGTGATGGATGCCTGCCAGACTGACTTGGCGGGTGTTGATGGATAGGTGCACTGGTGGGATCCTTTGGGGGCTGGTGTGTTTCTGTTTTTTGGTTAAGTTGTCTGAGTGTGATTCTCAAGTGTATATGCTTTGTGTATTTGAACTCTTATGTTTGCTACATATATAGGAGGAAACTGGGTTTACATTGTGCAATAATTCATAGAATTGCAAATTCTGTCTCTTTTTTTGGTAAGCAGGCTAGAAGGCCTGGGGGAAGGAAAGTAGTAATCAAGGCTCAAAAAGGGGAAGCTGGAAGCTTTTCCTTAACCCATTTAAACAATTACCTAAACTGGGTTATAGATTTACTTCTTCTAAATTCTGACTCATCCCAAGCACTAATTTTGTGTAGAAGCACAGTTTCTATGTGAAGAATACATAAATCAGGAAGTTACTTGAAAAAGCTTTGGAAGTCTGCTGTTTGTCATTACAAATATAGAGGGGAAATGAAAGAAATTATTTAAATAATGATCAATTGATCAATTACATTGGTTTGCAAATGTATACTTTGTCCCAATTTTTTTTCAATAAATATAAGGACTGAACAATCCTGATAGAAAGTGGTGCCATATGAGATTAATGTCATGGGTAAATGAGTTCTCGGAGTTAGCAGTTAGCTTTGTCTGCCTGTCTATTTCCCCCACCCTAACTAGCTGCCCTACAAATAACGGCCATTAACGTGGCAGGGTTTGGGGGAAGGGCTATTGTCTGTCTTACTGAGATTGCATTCATGAAAAATAAAACAGATTCCACTTAGTATGGATGGAAGCTGTCTCAGCCTCCAAGCATATAGGGTTTTTGAATGTGTAAAGAGAAAGAAGCTGCTTGTTATGTTGGCTATTCCTGAGGTAGGTTTTGTATAAGGTAGCATTATTTAAAACTACTCTTTTTTTTGGTATCAAAAATGGTCAAGTATGGGCCGTTTTATAAGGTTCAACCTAATTATTTTCATTCAAATAATACTGCAATGGTAAATTTGACAATTCAAGTGATATTTTTAAAGAAAGTCAATGCCATCGAGGAATTTTTAGTGTTTTGAAAGCATGATTCCAATGTCAGTATGTCAGTGCCAAGCTTTGTACTCATCAGCCTACAAGAATATGAGCTATTATTCAAAAGTGGCTAACCCTCTGCCCATTGAAAGAGAAAGCAAGAAGGCAGTCCTCACAGGTGTTTTTCGGAGGGTGGATGATATGTACTTGAAAAAACTCAGAGAGAATATATTTATAATAAGATCCTTAAGCTTATGCCCCAGTGCATAGCCATTTGAGTTGATCTCTGCCAGTCATGACTTCCACCTGAAAAATACCTTTGAAATCTCCACACTATTTCTTTCAGTTTTCTGAGAAAGTAGTATGTCTTAGACTGTTTGGGGTGTTGTAGCAAAAGTACCATAAACTGGGAGGCTTATAAACAACAGAAATTTAGTTCTGGAGGCTGGGAAGTCTAAGATCAAGGCACTGGCAGTTTGGTGTCAGTGAGGGTCTGTTCCTCACAGTGCCTTCTAACTGTGTCCTCACGTTGCAGAAGGGGCTAGCGAGCTTCCTGGACTCTTTTATAAGGGCACTAATCCCATTCATGACAGCAGAGCCCTCATGACCTAACTGCTTCCTAAATGCCTCACCTCGTAATACCTTCACCTTGGGAATTTGGTTTCTGCATATGAGTTTTAGGAAGACACAGACATTGTTACTATAACACAGCACCCTCCCCGTCATCCCTCTACTAAGACATTACTTCATTCATCCGCCTTGCTGGCTTCACCCATTCTCCATCCCACCCCTTCCTACCGCTTCTCACCTAGCTACTCTCTCTAGCTGCCATCCTGGTCTTCATTTTTCCTTCTCCATGAAACTCCTGGAAGTAGCTTACACTTCCTGCAGTTACTTCTTACCCTGAAAACTGCTGCTTCCACTCTATTGAAATCCCTTTTACAAAGATCTTCATGGACATCCTCCTCATCGAGCTAACAAGACTGTCCTCTGCCTTCAGAGTCCCCAACCTCTTGGCAGCCTTTGGCAGTGCTGACAAGTCCTTTCCTCTTAGATGTTCTTCTTCCCTTGGTTTCCAAGCCGCTATGTCCTAGTTGCCCTCCATCTAACTCTTCCCTCTGTAGGTATTGTTCCTCATCCCATCCCCTAAAGAGATTCCCTAGTAATCTCTCCTTAGCCCTCTTCCTTCTCTTCCCCAACACTTCCCAATACTTGTATATAACTGGCCTAATCGACGTCTAACAGCTCAGAACTCTCCCTAGTTACAAACAGACATTTACAGGAGCCAACAAGAAACAATGGAGACAGCCATGGATTTGGCATTTGCAGATCTATTAATATGTTCAAGTCTGGCTCAAATTCTAGGAGTTTTTACATAACTAAATATGGGAATGTCAAATGGTTTTTGAAAGGATTCAATTATAAATATTTTCAAAGGGTTAAGTAGACCTTAACCCTTTGAAAATATTTATAATTTATATGTAAATATAAATATATATTTAAATATTATTTCAAAATGTTTGCTGAATATCCTTCCTGTCTATTCCAAGGTCTTCAAATTTAGTATTTATAAAATTAAATGCATTATATTTTCACTCACCATTATACGCACAACAGTAACTCTGCCTGGTGTCTGTATTTCTATTCAGAGTATCAATATTCTCCCAGTCAGCCTTATCAAACTTACGATATTTGATTTCTTCCTATCTCTCATCTCGCCTACTACTCCCAAGCATCCAAAACACTGAAAGCTCTACAGATTTTGTTTCCACAGTAGCTAGGTTATAGTACCTTTATTTTTATCCCTATTGCTTTTGTCACCTCTGTCCTGAGCTCCTACAATTACCTGATACCTATTTCTAACTTCCATCATCCTACACACAAACTGTCAGGTTCATTTTCCTAAGACCTTTCAAACACTTTCAGTGGATTCCCCATTGCCTAATGAATCAAGTCCAGATTTTTAAATGTGATAGTCAAGTCATTTCTGCTCTGGACCCAGAATTGCTATCCAGTTTACCTCTCTCTATTAATCTTCATGTAGCGCCCCCCCCCATCCAGTTGATTACTCCTTATTTTTGAATCAGTCTTTTGATTCCTACTCACAGAGTCTTGCCATGAAATCTTTTACCTAAAATGCCCTGTCTCCCCAGTTACCTTGTCATAATCTTCCCAATTCTCCAAAATCCATTTCTAACGCCATCTCTTATGCCATCTCCATAAACCTACTTCCCTCCCCTCAAAATGTAGTCCCTCCTTTCTTCAAAATTTTTGAAGCACTTTTATTACATGTTTTCCATAGAGAGATGACTGCTGTCCACTTGACTGGATTATAAAATCCAGAACAGAATCTAGCCTACATTCATCTTCATATCTTAGTCCATCAGGCATGAGAAATACTATAAATGGTTGAATAAATATTTACTGAATTGGCAAATAAAGCAGCAGAAAAAGAAGTATGTGTTTTCACAATAAAAATTTTCAAATGTGGTACCCATCTTGCTGAAAAGTGATGGGAGATGTTGGAGAAGTGTTGCCTAGCCACCAAAAATAACATCGTTTGTAGAAACATGCCTTGATATAAGTAGGTTCGTGGTACCTCAAAAGCCACATTAAAAAATATTTTGATTGTGAAATACAACATAAGAAAATATTAATAAAACATACATTTTTGGTTTAACAAATAAGTAAAAAGTAAAATCTATATAATATCTACCCAGGTCAAGAAACAGAATATCACCAAGACCTAGAAGCACCCACCCAGCCCGCAGTGTGCCCCATCAAATCACAGACGCTCCCCCAATGCAATCACTTTCCTGACTTTCATGATAACCGCTTCCTAGTTTGCTTTTTTTTTTGAGATGGAGTTGCCCAGGCTGGAGTGCAGTGATGCAATCTTGGCTCACTCCAACCTCTGCCTCCCAGGTTCAAGTGATTCTCTTTCCTCAGCTTCTGTAATAGCTGGAATTACAGGCACCTGCCACCATGCCTGGCTAATATTGTATTTTTAATAGAGACAGGGTTTCACCATGTTGGCCAGGCTAGTCTTAAACTCCTGGCCTCAAGTGATCTGCCCAGCTTGGCCTCCCAAAGTGCTGGGATTACAGGCATAAACCACCTCGCCTGGTCATTTCCTAGTTTTTTGCTGATGATTTTACCCCTTATGTATGCATCACTAAACACTACAGTGTGGTTTTACCTGTTTTTAAACTTTATAAACAGTAGGATTATTCTGTATAGAGTCACAAGGATTCAGAAGTGTTTTTGTATCTTTCATTGAACGTAGTCACTCATGTTATTGCAAATAGTTGTAATTGTTGATTTTTATTTCTATAACATTCCACTTTATGACTGTACCACAGTTTATCCAGTCTACTGTTGATGGACATATGGGTTGTATCTTGTTTGGGGTTTTAATGAGCAGTGTAGCTGTGCATATTCTTTCACACATAGCTTGGTGCACACATTTCTCTAAGATGGCATTGCTGAAAAGTGTTTTAAACTGCCACTGTAGTATAACTGGTTGGTAAGTAATAATTTACATTTTCCTAAGGTGCTCTAACTTCTATTCCTGGCTTCTTATTACAAAAAGAGCATGATATAAATATGTCACATTAATTTGGACTTATGAATAAATTAGTGTATTCTAAATTATTATAGAGTCTGGGTGCAGTGGCTCACACCTGGAATCCTAGCACTTTAGGAGGCTGAGGCAGGCAGATCACTTGAGGTCAGGAGTTCGAGACCAGCCTGGCCAACATGGTGAAACCCTGTCTCTACAAAAATACAAAACTTATCCGGTCATTGTGGTCCATGCCTGTAATCCCAGCTACTCAGGAGGCTGAGGCAGGAGAATCACTTGAACCTGGGAGACAGAGGTTGCAGTGAGCCAAGATTGTACCACAACACTCTAGCCTGGGTGACAGAGCAAGACTGTCTCAAAAAAAAAGAAAAAAAGAAAAAAAATATTATTACTAGAAATGTGTGTGGTTGGCTGACTAGTTGGTTGAGTGTTGGTTGGTTTCCCAATTTTAGATTGAGCATACATATATGAGATATATGCACCTGACTGCCTCAGGTGACCACTTACCTTTTCTTCCCTTTTGCCCTTTGTTGTAGTTCCCTTCTATCCCTTAGAACTAGTTTCATTTCATCCCAGATTCCTATACTCAGTCTTTTTGTGTTCTCTATAATGTCCTTTTTCCTTTCCCTCACTTGTTTTTTCCACTCTAGTCTCCTTACTCTTTGTCCCTGGAGAGTCACAAAATGCAGCAGAGGCTCTGCTTCTTCCTCATCTTCTTATGAACTCTGTTCAGTTAACTCCATAAAGCCAGCAGTCTCTCCCTGTCTGGCCCGTCCGATGTCTTCCAATCCTGTCTTCCCTTTTACTGTACCCTGGGCCCCTAGTAAAAGAACTGGCCACCCTTGTGGCATGTCTTTGTCCTTTCTGCAACACAAAATGAACTAGCCTTTAATATCAATCATAGTAAGTAAAGATATGCTTTTTGATTTCTGAAAAATGATTGATTTAAAAAACTTGTCAAGTGAAATGTTACCATTTAATCATGTTTTTTCCTTTAGACCTAATACTTGAGATTTGTTCTAATAGAAAACATTTCCTAGTAGTCCCAACGGAAAACTTTTGGTAAGAACGAAGCTAAAATAAATGCTAATCCCAGAACCTGCTGGATTTTACAGCCATCTATTAGGAGGCTTTTCAGTAAAAGCGTTTCTTTAAGAAATGACAAAACAAAACCAAAAAACCCTCCACAGAATAGAAAGGAAGTGCTGCTGCCTCTTCAGATGCTAATTTTGGCTAGTCTTGCAACAGACCTGGCTAGGAGCTACAAATAGTTCAACCAACCAGCTAGAAAAATCATGGCACCAAGGGCAGAGCCCTAGACTTTGCGTCTCCAGCAACTACTTCTCTGGGAACTGCCCGATGGCAGCAGGCACCCTGGAATTTGAGGCTTGAGGAAGTATATGCCAAATTTTTTCATAAAATAATGTAAAATTATCATACATTTATTTGCTTTAAAATAAGTACACTTCGATAAGCAGATGTTTTATGGAAGTGGTCATGTTACATTGATGAAGCTGAACTTTTTTTAAGAGACTGAAGATTACTATAGAAGTTAAAGTTATAAAAGAACAATTAACTCATCAAGTGATTCCACTGCTGCTCAGCCTGAAGAAGATGTTGAACATTTGAGTTGATTATAGCTAACAACCTGAGATCTCATTTACCAGAATTGTAATACAAGGAAATACATAATGTGGTACACTGGGAACTGAAACACTAATCTCTTTTTATTCCCCTTTCTTTCTCCTACTTGCAAGCTAAGCTCAGCATTGGCCAGAGAGAAGTAACAGTTCAGAAAGGACCACTGTTTAGAGCTGAAGGTTACCCAGTCAGCATTGGCTGCAATGTAACTGGCCACCAGGGACCTTCTGAGCAGCATTTCCAGTGGTCTGTTTATCTGCCAAAAAACCCAACCCAGGAAGTCCAGATCATTAGCACCAAGGATGCTGCCTTCTCTTACGCAGCATATACGCAGCGGGTGCGAAGCGGAGACATCTACGTGGAGAGGGTCCAGGGCAACTCAGTCTTGTTGCACATCTCAAAGCTCCAGATGAAGGATGCTGGCGAGTATGAGTGTCACACACCGAACACTGATGAGAAATACTATGGGAGCTACAGTGCAAAGACTAATCTAATTGGTAAGCTGCTTGTCCACTTCTGCTCGCCAGCCCCTGAGAAGCCAGAGTCTCCACCATCACAACATCTTGCAATGTGACATGGCTTTATATTGTTCCATGTTCTTTGGGAAAAGAGCCCATATACCCTTGTGGATATTTTGGAGATATGTCACAAGGGGGTATCTCATATTCTCTAAAATTATGTTTCTTTTTCTCAATTATCTTTGCCATATTTAGATGATGTGTGGTTTTCCCAAGGCCTTGTCCACAGCTATCCATAGGTTGCTAATAGCAACAGCATTCAACAAAGCATTGAGAGTTCTCCCTGTGTTGTCTCTGCTTGGAGGCAGAAGAGTAATTTGACAAGAGAGCTGCTCCCATAGGTGATAAGTCATTAACTTAGAAATGATTATTCTCCAACTACCATTCTCTAGGATATTTACATATTGGGAAAGGGTCATAGTCTTTGCAGTTGTCACTTTGTCCCTTTGTCTGGAATATCTATCACCCCCTTTTCAGCTTAACAAACTCCTACATATACTTCAGGACCCAGTTTAGATACTACCTCTTCTGTGGAACTCATCTTGACTGCTTGGGCAGAATTCCCACTTTTGTTTCTTTTAGATTGTCCGTTCATACCACTACTATCAGCATGCATCCAGTTGTATGGTAACTGGCTGTTTGTATGCCTCTGTCCCACCACATCCTCAGCTTCTACTTAGTGGCTAGCACTGAGTAGATGCTCGGTCACATTGGTTGATTAAATCTAAGTGTTGCTTTCATATAAGCTTAGGCTGTGTGATTTCATTTTAAGAAAACAAGAACGGTAGGGTAGTAAGACAGTTACCAAAACTTTAGTAAAGAATGCATTTGGTTGGGCTCTAAATGATACATTTTAACAGACATTATTACATTATTACAGAGCCTTATAGAGGAGCAGGTTAAGGCCCAGGGAGGTGAAGTGACATGCCCAAGTCCATGTAATAGGGACGGATGTAGGACCAGAATCTAAGGCTTCTCTGTCCCAGTGCTTTCTCCCTTTAAATACATGCTTTGTGTCTGAGTAGCTAAATTGGTTACAGCCTATGCTAATGAAGCAAAGTGAGGGTCAACACATTGGGGAGACATTTACTTTGCCAAGTTCCGTAGACTGTACGTAGATGCCAGTGTTCCCATTAGCAATAGAGAAAGCATATGGATAGGAAGGCATATGGCAAGTGGAAAACCAACTCGAAGTCTGTGTGCTTTACATATGGTAGCTCGGGGCACCATTTTCACCTAAGGAGGCCCACTGGACAAGCACTGGGCCAGTCACATTATTATCACTCCTTTGTTTCCAGTTATTCCAGATACCCTCTCTGCCACCATGAGTTCTCAGACTCTCAGTAAGGAGGAAGGTGAGCCATTAGCCCTCACCTGTGAGGCATCAAAAGCCACAGCCCAACATACACATCTCTCTGTCACCTGGTACCTAACACAGGATGGAGGAGGAAGCCAAGCCACCGAGATTATTTCTCTCTCCAAAGATTTTATATTGGTCCCTGGGCCCTTGTATACAGAGCGGTTTGCAGCCAGTGACATACGGCTCAACAAACTGGGGGCCAGTACGTTCAGGCTGTCCATAGAGAGGCTCCAATCCTCAGATCAGGGTCAGCTGTTCTGTGAGGCAATGGAATGGATTCAGGATCCAGATGAAACCTGGATGTTCATCACTAAAAAGCAGACCGATCAAACCACTCTGAGGATCCAGCCAGCAGGTAATTATCTTCCTACGAAATTCATTAATACACTAGTATTAGGTAGTGGGTATTTATGAGGTATGTTTTAATTTTTGTTCTAATCCTTTGTTGGCTCTAAACAAATTGGCTAGAAAGTTTGATTTGATTTTGTATTTTTGTCATCTGAGAAGCATAACTAAGAGGGAGGACATTCAGTTTTGGCTCTGCCCACAGATTCTTTGTGGGATAAGGTCTACTCAATGGTTAGATCGATTCCACAAGCCAGTCATGGAAGTAGTTTTGTTACCATTTTTGCCAGTCTCTGTGTTCGCACATTATCTACATTATCTAATTTTGTCATAACCACCACCCTGTGAGGCAAGTAGTTGAGTCTCCATTTTAAAAATGAGGACTCTGAACCTCAGACATGCTAGATGCGCTGCGTAAGCCCACCCAGCTGGTGAGAGAGGGGCTGGGATTCAGAGGGAGGCCCGTCTCTCTCCAAAGCCCACTCAGCACAGACAGCTGGGCCTCAGAGTAGCTCCAGTTTCCAACATGAAGCCTTGTCTTCATCAGTGCTAGGATTTCCTTCCACCTGCCCCCTTTCCCAACTTGGAATGCGGTCACTTTCCTTTTTTATTATTTTTTTAATTTTTAAAATTTTTTAAGGACAGGGTCTTGCTATGTTGCCCAGGCTGGCCTTGAACTCCTGGGCTCAAGCAATCCTGCCTCGGCCTCCCAAAGGGCTGGGATTTCAGGCATGAGCCACCACACCTGGCCTGCTGTCACTTTTCATAATCTTTTGGCATTTTTGTCAAAGCAAGTATAAAGGCCTTGTCTGTGATTCTTGGTCTCTCCCTATAGGCTTTTGTCCAACAGGATTGGTTACTAAACCATATACTGTATACCCATTGCTAAAAGCAATGATCCAATGGTGGATCATTAAAGTTTTTTCTTTATTAAAAAGAGTGTTATTGTGTTCCACTAAAAATTGTCCTGTTGGCCTCAAGTATCCAAGTTATACTCATGAGTCCTATGGAGCAATATCACATGTGCTTTTTAACTTCAGAAAATTCTGCTGGAGATTCTTAGCCAAAAAAGAGAGTAAGAAATCACAATTTACAGCAATTCAGTATAAAATATTTAATTTAATATATCTATTTAATTCAGTATACAATATTTTAATTTAAAAAGCATACATTACCATATGTATCATACGTTTGTGCATTCATCTTGTTTACTAAGAGTGCATTCAGAAAACCATGCGTACTGCCCTTTCTGGGTGATTTAAGGAAGAGTCATGAGTGTTTTTTACTCTAAGGATTTTTTTTTTTTGGTTTACCTACCAGTATAGAACTGAACTCTCACATAAAATGTGATCCCTGTGGCATCCTTACAGAGGGTGTCATCTCTCTCTGGTACTGAAAGGACAGAGGCTGTGGGCTCTCTAAATACCTGCCTTGCTTTTGTTTCCCAGTGAAAGATTTTCAAGTCAACATTACAGCTGACAGCTTGTTTGCTGAAGGGAAATCCTTAGAACTGGTTTGCCTGGTTGTAGGCAGTGGCCGTGACCCACAGCTTCAAGGCATTTGGTTCTTCAATGGGACTGAAATTGCTCACATTGATGCTGGTGGAGTCCTGGGCCTGAAGAATGACTACAAAGAGAGAGCAAGTCAAGGAGAGCTCCAGGTCTCAAAGTTAGGCCCCAAGGCTTTCTCTCTCAAGATCTTCTCTCTGGGCCCAGAGGATGAAGGCACCTACAGATGTGTGGTAGCAGAGGTCACGAGAACACGCACAGGTTCCTGGCAGGTGCTTCAGAGAAAGCAGTCACCAGACAGCCATGTGCACCTGAGGAAGCCAGCAGGTATGTGAAGTCAAAACCCGGCATGCACTGGGCTGCTTTCAGATGCCCCCTCGTCAGTAGAAGACCCCTTTGTGGATATAATGGGGATCTTCATGAAGAGCAGGTTTCAATCAGATCACATTGGAGGTGGAGTGGAGTAAAGGAAGGCACCCAAACTAGCTGGAGACCCAAGTCCTATTCCTGAGTCATTACTTAGGCTGCGACCATGAAATCACCATTTTACGTCTCTAAGTCTCAGCTCCCTCATCTGTAAAATGATGGCACACAACTAGATGGTCTTTAAGTTCCTTCTTGCTGGCTTAGAGTCTAAGCCCTCTGCCTTCATGTGTGTGTGTGTGTGTGTGTGTGTGTGTGTGTGATATGAATAGGTTAAGAGTAAAAAGCTACACTTTGTCCTCCTTCCTGGGGAATGAACACCCATGTTATCCTACCTTGAGACTCTGCTGGCATTTTTCAATTGCCTTCTGTTAATCTCCTACTATGCTGACCTGGTGTGGGAGATAGTATTTAGTCATAATTCTGACTCACAGTAAGAAACGAAGAGGTAATTGATAGTGGGCAGACTCCATCCTCTGCATTTTGCTGTGATGTGGTGAGACGCCGGTCCAAATGGTTCTGAGTGTCTGCAAGCAGAGAACTGAGGAAACCACGCAGTTTACCTTTACTTTATGAAGGTTGGGTGACTTTAAACATGTTTGAATAATCATTGCCTTTTGTGTGGAGAAAAACAGACAAATCTACAACTAATATAAGGATTCACTAGGCTGGGTTTATTTTATTTTATTTTTTTTTTTTTCTGAGACGGAGTCTAGCTCTGGAGTCACCCAGGCTGGAGTGCAGTGGCCAGATCTCAGCTCACTGCAAGCTCTGCCTCCCAGGTTTATGCCATTCTCTTGCCTCAGCCTCCCGAGTAGCTGGGACTACAGGTGTCCGCCACCTCGCCCGGCTAGTTTTTTTATATTTTTTAGTAGAGACGGGGTTTCACTGTGTTAGCCAGGATGGTCTCGATCTCCTGACCTCGTGATCCACCCGTCTCAGCCTCCCAGCGGCTTGAGCCACCGCGCCCGGCCTAGGCTGGGTTTAAATTCAAAGTCCAGAAAGATTAATTGCCCAAAAATTTTTTTAATGTTTTAAATGTTTAAAAACTGAGCTGGAAACAAAGATGTCCTTGTTGCACTGGCTTATTGGAGATATCTCCAAAGATAGATAAATTTTCCTTTCATGTTCTCCAATACGCCGTTTACTAGGAATGAAGATGCACTGATTTGGCCTGGAGTGGCAGGCCAGGAAGTGTGTTGTGTTCGCTTTCACACTAAACATTTGGTCTGACTTTCTAGAATTAAGGAAAAACAATATAGGTGGGGTTTACATATTTATGCAGAGATAAGTTTCTGCTTTATGCATCTCAGCCTTCTCTGGAACATATCTGCGGGCTTTTGTAAACCTGGTATGTGGGAATTTCACCCAAAGGGGAACTTCAGGGTACACAGCTGATAATCCTATCAATAGGGTCATCTTCTAAAACTAAAAATAGTTCTTTGTATAGGCTGGAGTCTACCCTGGGCTTACTATGTAGACACAGAAAAAGTTATTAGCAAATTTATTAAGGATCCTGTTTAGCATTCTGTTTTGAAAGTCAAACGTTACTCGAAGTATTAGCAACATTTTATCATTTATGAATATTTTAATCACCCATTACTGTTGTGAATGTGTAACTTACACACATTTTGTAAGTTTATTACTTCTTACCAAAAGGCAGTAATGGCCACTATGAACTAAGGAAACACCATTAAAAAAAAAAAAAAATCATGTTAGTTTAAACTAATCATCATGGTTATCTTAAAGTGGTGAGATTATGAGTAATAATTTCCCCTCCAATTTCTAAACTTCAGTTATGAGTCTATTTTTAACTTGAAAAAAATTAAATTTGAAAGCAGATTTGCTCTTTTTAAAAACATATTTATGGACATTAACCTTCATTCTGTCTTTGTTACTTATGTATATGTATGCATAAAACAGTCAAAGACTGAACTCCTTCCTCCGCAGGGAAGAACAATTTGCAAATTCATTTAGATCCTATTTAGATTTCTAATGCCAGTTCTATTTTATTTTCCTCTTTTGCTTTGAATTACCTCTGCTTTTGCCAGAGCCTATCATTAAACACTAATGCTAGCAGCTAACCTTTACTAAGTACTTTCCCTAGCCATCCAGGCTAAGCTCTTTGCATGTGCCATTTGTTCAGTCTTCTCAACAATGCAGCAAGGTGAGCACTATTATTATCTTCATTTTTACAGAAAAGAAAACTGAGGCTCAGAGAGGTCAAATATGTTGCCCAGGGCAATTCTGACTCCAGGAGCCGTGGCCTTAAATTAGTGCTGGGCTGCCTAGAATGTACAATCTCCTGCTGTATCTCTACATTGCTCACAAAGCAACCAGGACAAGACCTTGCAGAATTCATGTTTGTTGAATGAATGTGTTTGCTGAATGATGACTTGAATTTCTCATCTGAGAGTCAGATTTACATTTATGGTTTTACACTGTAGTTTAGACATAAGAAGCCTCTCTGTTTACAACAACGTGTATATGTATATATACATGTATTTTCCCCCCAAGTAATTGGTTTTTATAGTAATATTGTGAACAGAGATGTAATTAACAATGTTTCTTCCTCATTCAAAACACTTACTAAACCAATTAGCTTGATTAGGGAAAGATAAGAAAGAGAAAGATCGTTTTGAACTCTGAAGGTCCGAATTCTGAAAAACTAAAAATTTAAATAAATACAGCTTTATTACTTTCAGGCTCTTATATCTACCCTAATTAATATACTAAAACATTACCAGATGTTTGGCCAACTAGATATCCTTAAGGAAGAGTTGATTTAACAAACTAATAAAAAATACGTGCAAGTGATAAATGGTCTAAGTAAGCTGGGCACAGTGGCTCATGCCTGTAATCCCAGCCTTTTAGGAGGCTGAGACAGGAGGATTGCTTGAGGCCAGAAGTTCAACACCAGCCTAGGTAACAAAGAGAGACCCTATCTCTGCAAAAAATTTAAAAATTAGCCAGCGTGGTGGCACATGCCTGTAGTCCCAGCTACTGAGGCACGAGGCAGGAGGATCGCTTGAGCCAAGGAGTTTGAGGTTGCAGTGAGTTAAGATCACAGTGCTGTGTTCCAGCCTGCACAACAGAGCAAGACCCAGTCTTTAGAAATAAATAAATTGTTTAAGGGTAAATACATCCTCCGATATTCTTTCTGCTATCTTGTTCCCACTATTTAAGTGTTTGGCAAATCTTTTGCCTGAGGGTGGTGCAAGAGGAAACAGCCTGATTTGACTTGTCACAAACTAGTCAAGTCCTAATTAATGAGATTTCACTGTATTTTAGAAAATTTCTTATTTACTTAAAACAGTTTTTTTCTTCTATAATCTGTAACTCACAGCAAGAAGTGTGGTCGTGTCTATCAAGAACAAGCAGCAAGTTGTGTGGGAAGGAGAGACCCTTGCCCTTCTCTGCAAGGCTGGTGGAGCTGAAAGTCCCCTGTCTGTGAGCTGGTGGCACATCCCACAGGATCAGACACAGCCCGAGTTTGTGGCTGGCATGGGGCAGGATGGCATTGTGCAGCTGGGTGCCTCCTATGGGGGACCCAGTTACCATGGCAATACAAGGTTGGAGAAAGTGGACTGGGCCACCTTCCAGCTGGAGATCACCTTCACTGCCATCACAGACAGTGGCACATATGAGTGCAGAGTATCTGAGAAGTCTCGGAACCAGGCCAGAGATCGGAGCTGGACTCAGAAGATTTCAGTTACTGTAAAGTCTCTGGGTAAGTGTCAGAGAAAGTCCTTTTCTGCACCTGTATATCACTCAATTCATTCTGCAGTGGAATTGGATTGCATGTTATCCTGAATCCCCCAGTGATGGTATGTGTACCCTAGGACACAGAGCATAGTCTCTGGCTACCCTCTCTGTCAATGTCAATCAATCTTTAAAGTTTCTTCATCTTTGTAAAGATCATCTTTAGGGTGCAGCTTGTAAATTGTTGTTCAAAGTTAAAAACAAAACCCTATGAATCAGGTTTTAGATGAGTATAGCTGAGCCTCATATCTTCTGGCTTTTGAGAGCTGCAGCCCTGGGATTGCAGAGCCCATTGGAGCATGTGCAAAAAAAAAAGGGTTCTGATACTGAACCCACGCATGGGGGTAAGGGAAGGAGGCCAGACATCTGGGGTGGGGAGTGCTCCACCCACTCAGCAGCAGCTGTCTAAGTAGCAGATTGGGGAAACACTGCCTATTTGTTGTGGCTGCTGGGAACAGTCTTAGAAGAGGATCAACTTTGCAAAATTGAGGTCAGAGTTCAGGACAGACTGTACTGAGAATCAACTTCTACTCTATAAAATATGAAACTCCAAATGTACAAATGCATGGTCCTACTCAAAGAGGTGGCAACTAGAAAACCTTGAAAGTGCTGTATTTTAATCTGGCATATATATTAGAAATTATGTTTCATTTTTCTGTCTAGAGTCAAGTTTACAAGTTAGTCTGATGAGCCGTCAGCCACAAGTGATGTTAACCAACACCTTTGACCTGTCCTGCGTCTTGGGGACTGGTTACTCTGACCTCAAGGTGCCACTCACTGTGACGTGGCAGTTCCGGCCAGCTAGCTCTCACGTCTTCCACCAGCTTATTCGAATCACCCACAATGGCACTATTGAATGGGGGAATTTCCTATCCCAGTTCCAAAAGAAGACGAAAGTTTCACAGTCTTTATTTCGTTCACAACTCCTGGTCCATGATGCCACTGAGGAAGAGACGGGAGTGTATCAGTGTAAAGTAGAAGTTTATGACAGAAATTCCCTATACAACAACCACCCTCCGAGGGCTTCTGCCATCTCTCACCCATTGAGAATAGCAGTCACTATACCAGGTAAGTGTGACTTGAAATTAATCCCTGCTTTAAAAACAAACAAATAAATAGCAAGCCTCCCATTCTGGGTAAGTTATAACAATAAAACATAAAATACTTTGTCCCGTATTTGTTCTGTCTAAGTAAGCACCACATCATGAATGATACCCAGGTTAACATTGAGTTAGTATGCACGGGTTGGCCATACTGGTTGTTAGAACATTGAAATACCTTCCATGTCGGCTAGTTGCTGCTCTCTATCCATTCCCCATTTTCCTCTAAGTTCCCACCATCCAGCAACTAAAGGGTACCACGTGGCACAGCAGGGGGCCTCTAGGACCTGGCTCCGGGGGAGAAGATATGTTTTGGATTGGTCACTGTCTAGGTCTTACCAGTTAGTAAACATTTGCAATGTCTCTGCTGGTGGTAGGGATAAGGTAAATTCCACTGGAATACATCCACCTACTTATTTGTAAGGTGTTAATGTATAAGAGTCAGAAAATTTATTATTATAATCACATATAATCCATCTCATCAACTGATAATACAGCACAGGAGATAAAAGTGAGATACCACCTAGGCAAAGTTCTGCTGTGTCATGTATCTTTTGTCTCATAGTCTGCATTCTCTTAGGACAGAGTGATGGAGAGACATTGAATTATTTAGATCTGACAATCACTGGATAGCAGAACAGCTTTGGATGAGCCACCTAATCTGCTCAAGCCTTAGTTACCTGATCTGTAAATTGTTAATGTGCAATTTAAATATGGTAACATATATAACATGCCGAGTACCTGACATACCAAGATGATGCTCAAACGTGGTCGCTGTCATTCTTGCTGCTGCTGTGCAACATTTTTGGTAATAGTAATGATCCCCTTGTTCCTGAATTCATGCTTAATTAATTTGTCCTCTCTGTGGTATTTGCAACTGCTGCCCCAATCTGTCTTCTTGAAACTTCCTTTTTCCTTGGCACCATGACACAAGATTTTCTCCTCCACTGATTTATTCTTTAAAGAAAATAGTTTCTCTGGATTTTATTCTTAGCTTTGATCTCTTTTCATTCTATACGCTTTCCTGCAGTGGACTCATCCCTACCTATGGATACAACCTGTATGTTCACAACTCCCAAATTCATTATCTTGACCAATTTCTCTTCTGATCTCCAGACTCATATATCCAGCTGTCTCCAAGACATGTCTGCACTCATTATGTCAAAACATAAACCCCCCATTATCATCCAAAGCTCTTCCTTCTACATTGCCCCTTATGTCCCCACTCCCCATCAGTGACCCAAGTTGAAAACCTGAGCCATCACAACTCTTATGTTCACCTTGTATCTAAACTCCCATAGTGTGACATGCAAGGCCCTGTATCATCTGGTATATCTGTCTCTTTCCAGCATCATCTCCTTCAACGTTCCATCGTGAATTTGAGCTTCAGCCACACTGAATTACTTGCAGCTCCTCAATAGTCCATGTTCCCTCTCACTTTCAAAATCTTTGGTCAAGTTGCATCTTTTGTGCAGAAATCCTTAACTTCTTCTCCATCAGAATAATTCCTATAAACCCTTAAGACTCAGCTCAGAATTATCCCTCCAGGAAGTCTCCCTTCACTCCTGTATTTGGGCTAGGAGACCCTGCTGTGTGCTCAGATAGGCACTTCTACATACCTCTGTCTTAACATGAGGGACATGAGGAACAAAAATTGTACACTGAGGCCAGAGGTGGCTCACACCTGTAATCCCACACTTTGGGAGGCCAAGGCAGGCGGATCACCTGAGGTCAGGAGTTTGAGACCAGTCTGGCCAACATAGTGAAACCCCGTCTCTACTGAAAATGCACAAATTAGCCAGGCGTGGTGGTGTGCACCTGTAGTCCCAGCTACTCAGGAGGCTGAGGCATGAGAATCACTCTGCACAGAAAGTGGAGGTTGCAGTGAGCCAAGATCATGACACTGCACTCCAGCCTGGGCGACAGAGCAAGACTCCATCTCAAACAAAACAACCAAAACTATCACACTTGAGAAAGGTTTCTCAAGACTTATTTCAGCTCCACATTCTAAATGTGGAAGACAGCGATCAAGGCAAATATCACTGTGCTGTGGTAGTGTGGCTGTCTGTCTACAAATGGCACTTGGCACCATCTCTAAGCCTCTGTCCCTGTACTTGTCTCCCTCTAGAGTGTGAGCCACTGAGGGAAGATATCCACAGGGCCTGGAATTGTCTGGCACATAATATAGTGTGTGCTTCATAAATGTTTGCTGAAGGAAGAGTAAAGAGACCTACTGGCAACATCAATAAGCAGTTACAAAAGTAGAGTGGGTGATGTGAGCAAGACGTGAGAAGAAGATTTGGGAACAAGGATGGTCACTCATCTTTCTGACAAAGCAGAAAAGCTGCTGGGGTCAAAGATTAGTTGACTCCACATCCATACGATGTTTCCACAGTTAAGTGGCTGCAAAGATGCACACAGTTTTAATCACTCATGTACAACTTCCTTTTGTTTACCCATGTTTGAAGGCAGATACAACTAGAGTTTGAAAATTGTGAATCCAGAAGTACTCTGCATAGTAAACACACAAACACAGCATTAATAGGGCCACTTTCTCCCAATCTGATACATGCAATATGACAGAAGAGATGCTTGTGCTTAAATACTGAAGCAGTATCATGTGGAAGAGAGATGACTGGGCTTGTCTGTGTGACACTCCCTCTGCGACACTACCCCTACCAAGCATAGGTAGCAGTAGGACTAGTGGATGGAAGTCATGGAGATAAAATTTAACTTGATATCAGAAAGCATTCTGGAGTGGCAGAGCTGTCCAAAGATGAAATGGGCTGCCTTGTCAGCTAGTAATGTTGTTCAAAAGCTGGATGAGCAGTGAGTGGGGCTACTGTAGAGGGAGTTCACCCATATGATGGTGGGAGGATGCAGTGTCATACTTGACCTCTAATGTCTCTACTACCTTAACTTTCTGTTTTGTAGCAAAGTAACTGTTTCCATTTTTTAAATTTAGAGAGCAAGCTAAAAGTGAATTCAAGGAGTCAAGTCCAAGAGCTCTCCATCAACTCCAACACTGATATAGAATGTAGCATCTTGTCCCGGTCCAGTGGAAACGTTCAGTTAGCCATCATTTGGTATTTTTCTCCTATTTCCACTAATGCCTCCTGGCTAAAGATCCTGGAGGTGGACAAAACCAATGTTATAAAAACTGGAGATGAGTTTCACACCCCATGGAGAAAACAAAAATTTCATACTGAGAAGGTTTCCCAAGACTTATTTCAGCTGCACATTCTGAATGTGGAAGACAGCGATCAGGGCAAATATCACTGTGCTGTGGAGGAATGGCTCCTGTCTACAAATGGCACTTGGCACAAGCTTGGAGAAAAGAAGTCAGGACTAACAGAATTGAAACTCAAGCCCACAGGTAAACCTTGCAGGTGTATCCTCACAATGTCTGTCTGTCTGATGGCTGTTTTCTCTTGGGCAGCTCTTCTATGGAGTGATTATGTGGGAGTAAAAATATGACCTAAAGTCATAGGAACAGTGTCCACCTACAAATGACTGCAGGACTGGGTAGTCCACCAGAGGAGGGGAGGTCACTTAAGGTGATTCAATCTGAGGTTTTGGGGAGCTGAGGTAGAAGCAAGATCCCTTTGATTGGTTCGCTTCTCAGCCTGGCAGCCTAGTCTATGTAGCTACCCAGGGTATGGTATCTCCAGATCTCTATAATAACAAGCTGTGTCATTCCAGTGGGGCTGTACTGTAATTTGGCAGAGAAAGAGTAATATGAAGCATATTTCTCCCACTGTGAACAGAAACTGTACAACTCTATGTGGATGTGTGGAGAAATTGCTTCTCAACATTTAGCTGCCTAAACATAAGGCAAATAAGAGTAGTTAACTGTTGGAATGGCTTACTGAAGGAGTCTCCTCTTCCTCAGGAGATCTTTAAAAATGCAATGGAAGTTCCGCACTGGTCTAAGAGTGCCGCTGTCTAAATGCGGGCAGGGTTGATTAGGTCTCTCAGCATAGGTTAGGTCACCTCCAGTGTTGATTAAAATTAAATGAACGTCACAGCCAAGGTTCAGGAACTGGCAAAGATCCAACAGCACAATGCAGAGAAGTTGATCTAATTTGGTGCTTAAAATATTATTTTCAAGTTAATGTTAAAAAAAAAAAAAAAGGATGATAATTGAGCATTACTAATGTATTAGGCAATGGAATACAAAGATAAAGAGGGCACAGCCCTGGCCCTTAAGGAGCTCCCAGTCTGGTGGGACAACAAAGGCAAAACAGCAGCTTGGTATGAGATCTCTTCCTGCCCTCTGGCTTCCCTTCTCTATGTTCTTCAAGTCCCTTTTTCTCCCTGCTAAATGTGTGTGTTCCTCAGGGACAGATCCTGGGCCTGTTTTGCTTCTTATTCTCTGCTTTCCTCAGAATTTCTTAAATACTGCCCTGGTTTCAACGACCACGTTCTAGATGATAACTCTGAGATTTTGTGCTTAGTCCTGATCTCCTGAGCTCCAAGCCTTCATACCCAACTGCCTGCTGTACATTTCTACTTGGATGCCCCCATACTCAGCATGCCCTGAATTGCACTTAGCATCTCTGTCATCTCACCATGCTCATTTGTACTTCTGCATTTTCCATCTGTGTGACTGGCATTCTGTCTCCCAGTCATCCACGCCAAACTCTTGACCACATGTGCATGCCCCTCGTCAGGAGGCAGCCACTGCTTAGCTCAAGTGCTTCCCATGTACAAATGTGGATTCTGTGTTGTCAGATCTTTTTGCGTATCTACAGATGCCTAAAATCTTTTTGGTAACATCTCCCAGTTTGAGAATGTCCACAACTAATTCACTTTTTTTTTTTTTTTAAGACAGTCTAGCTCTGTCACTCAGGCTGGATTCAGTGGTGTGATCTTGGCTCACTGCAACGTCTGTCTCCCGGGTTCAAGCAATTCTCCTGCCTCAGCCTCCAGAGTAGCTGGGACTACAGGCGTGCGCCACCATGCCCAGCTAATTTTTGTAATTTTAGTAGAGATGGGGTTTCACCATATTGGCCAGGCTGGTCTCAAACTCCTGATCTCGTGATCCACCTGCCTTGGCCTCCCAAAGTTCTGGGATTACAGGCATGAGCCACTGCGCCTGGCCCAGTTCTTTTAAAATACTGCAAGTGTCAAGCAGAACATACCTGTGGGCTTGGCGTGGCTGTGGACTTCTGGTTGTGCACGTCGTTTAGGGAACAAGTTAACGAAGAGGCCCCAGAAAGATGCTGAGAATGACTGGTCAGAGTTGTAAGAAGGATATTTTCTCTGAGATTGGAAAAAAAGAAGTCAATTTCAAGGAGAAAATGGACTCCAGTCACAAAAACCACATAGAGAAAAGGACTAGAGGGTCCCTTGAACTGGGAAATTAGGCCCTGGCAAAGTATAGTGATGGGATTGGAATCCAGATCACAATAAAATAGGAAGTAATTTGAGGCAAGGAAACAGCAACAGTATCACATAAGCTAATATTCCACGTGATTCTCCATGAAGGAAAGGAGAGAGTAAACATGGTAACTAAGAAAGAGTCCAAGATCTGACAGAATTATTCTCTTAAAGACAGATTAATAAATGTGTTAGGTCCAGGCATAGTGGCTCATGCCTATCATCCCAGCACTTTGGGAGGCCAAGGCAGGTGGATCACCTGAGGTCAGGAGTTCGAGACCAGCCTGGCCAACATGGTGAAACCTCGTCTCCACTAAAAATACAAAAATTAGCCCCCTGCCTGTAATCCCAGCTACTTGGGAGGCTAAGGCAGGATAATCACTTGAACCCGGGAGGCAGAGGTTGCAGTGAGCTGAGATTGTGCCATTGCACTCCAGCCTGGGAGGCAGAGTGAGACTCCATCTCAAAAAAATAAAAATAAAATAAATAAATAAATAAATGTGTTTGTAGTAGAATTATAGTAATGCACGCTATAATTTATTTTGTTTGTAACTACTTTAGCCTTCATTCTAAATCCTCACCTGCTGGTTAGCAAGGGGGAAAAAGGTAAATGTCAAAATCTGTTTAAAACTTAGTCTAATCCAATCATCTAAATAGTTCCCTTGGATGGCTTTCTAACACTTGCATCAAATGTTCAGTCTCTCGGATGGCCTCCTCTCTTTCTGCATCTATACCCAGGTAATATCTGGGTGGATGGGAGGAGAGTAATTTGCTAAGAATGAGGGGCCCTGGTGGAATATATGGCTTGAGGGAGCTGCTAAAAGTTGTGAACGACCACTTTGGGAAGTAGAGGAGGAGTGAATCAAGGATAAATAAAAGCAGCAGGCAGAGGGCCCTGCAGCAGCTGTGTGGTTTTCAATGGCAGGGTCCAACAGGCAAGCAGTTGGGCTAAAGAAGGAGAAAAACTGGTTTCATTCCTAGCAGAGAATGTTCTGGCAAATGTGAAAAACAGGGACCAAAGACAAGGATTAAAATGAATGTGGCTGGGCGCTGTGGCTCACGCCTATAATCCCAACACTTTGGGAGGCTGAGGTGGGCAGATCACTTGAAGCCAGGAGTTCAAGAGCAACCTGGCCAACATGGTGAAACCCCGTCTCTACTAAAAATACAAAAAAATCAGCTGGGCATGGTGGCACACACCTGTAATCCCAGCTACTTGGGAGGCTGAGGCAGGAGAATTGCTTGAAACCAGGAGGCAGTGGTTGCAGTGAGCTGAGATTATGCTGCTGCACCCCAGCCTGGGTGACAGAGCAAGACTCTGTCTCAAAAAATAAAAATAAAATAAATGCACTGATGTCTAAAGAATATAAGAGCTTCCCAATGAGAACTAGATTTTTCAGAGGTGGTATCCAATCTGAACATCTGCATTTTCTAATTTACTGCCATTTTATTGTCTAGGAAGTAAGGTACGTGTCTCCAAAGTGTACTGGACCGAAAATGTGACCGAGCACAGAGAGGTGGCCATCCACTGCAGCCTGGAGAGTGTAGGCAGCCCAGCCGCTCTGTACTCTGTGATGTGGTACTGGAACAGAGAAAACTCTGGAAGTAAAATGCTGGTGCACTTGCAATATGATGGCTTGCTGGAGTATGGGGAAGAGGGGCTTAGGAGGCACCTGCACTGTTACCGTTCATCCCCTACAGACTTTGTCCTGAAGCTTCATCAGGTGGAGATGGAGGATGCAGGAATGTACTGGTGTAGGGTGGCAGAATGGCAGCTCCATGGACACCCAAGCAAGTGGATTAATCAAGCATCCGATGAGTCACAGCGGATGGTGCTCACGGTGCTGCCTTCAGGTAACCGGGGGTTTATCTACCGTGAGCTCATGGTCAGGAGGATACATGGCTCTCCTCTTATGCTCTCCCTCTCACCTATCTTTTGCTCCTTCTTCAGACTGAAGACAATTTTCAGGTTCCCTAAAGAAGATGACTTTGCTATCTCTCTCAATAGTAACTCATTTGAACAAACAAGGTCCACATGAGGTTTTGGCACAGACGCTTAAGTATCAGGAGCATCTGACAGGTCCATGTCTTTCTGGTGGGGTTCAAGGAGAAGGTGGGAGGTGAGCAATAAGCTCAGCTTACTGAGGGAAAGGGCCATTGGAGAAGTAGGAGTGTGGTCTTGGTGCCAGACACCAGGAAGCATAAAGGGAAAATCATCAATAAAGGTAACAATCCTGAGACACCAGCTAGCTTCAGTGACACTCCTTGGGAAGGATAGAATGCTGTTGAGAACATATGGGAACATCTAAGAAGTAGGGATAGGTGCATCCCAGCCTAGCAGGGCTTCCAGAAGGGAAGGTGAGGCTATCCAATTTGTTCTTGAGGGGGTTCATCATTGTTTTTCTGTGTTCATTCTTCAGCGAAGTTTTCTCCTGAGTGCCAGGCAGAAATGTTTTTTCTATCAGCCTTTATTTTTCTTTCAAACAATTACAGGAAGTCCCATACTCATGAGCACATTCCGTACATGTTTTCCCAGTGGAATTCATAGACTCTGTAGAATCGGCAGCTTTTGCAGTAGAATAAATAGATAAGAACCGTAAAAAGTATACAGTCTGTGATGAAAAGCATGTCTTCTCTGAGGCAGATGGGATCCTTCATAGCATACATATTGTTAATCTTTGTGAGATCCTTGTAAAACAGGTATATGCTTTTTAAAAGATAAACCTGGAAAGAAAACATTAAAAATTGAGTGGCCTTTGTATTCTTCAGAAAGTCTTTGTCATGACAAACTGAGGGTTTTGAGGGTAATGAATGTTGAGGATTTCCAAGGAAATCCCTGTAATGTAGCATCTGGGCTCCTCTACCTGGCTGTTCCTTTCTGGTAGTCAGGGAGGCAGTGTGGGTGATAAAAAATCCCAGGGGCTGGAATCAGACCAGCCTAAGCTCAAATCACAGCTCTACTACCAATACCAGCTATGAAATCATACCCTGGTTACTTGCTGTGAGCCTCAGCTTTCTATAAAATGAAGATCATAATATAAATATATATATAAAGTATCCAGTACAGTGCCTGGCACATGGTCAGTACTCAGCAAATGTAATCTCCTTCTCCCCTTATGCCTCCAAACATGCGGCACATACACATACACACAGGTATACACACATCTACATGTGTACATCTAAGTGACAAAATAATGGCACTTGTTTAATAAATAACTATATGAGGTTCTGAGGGCACAAAAGTGTATATACAGAGTCTGTTCCCACAGAGCTTAGAGTCCAGTGGGAGAAATCAAGTCCAACATAATAGGTGTCTTCAAAGAGGTATTTCCCGTAGACTATGGGAACAACAGAGGCAGGGCTGGGGTGAAGGGCTAGGCAGGGAGGCGATCTGGGAAGGTTCCCCAGAGTCTGGGGCTCATGAAAAGGAAGAAACTTATTTTAGGAAAATGAAAGAGTATGCAAGATGATAATAAGATGTAAAATTTCATGTTATATTCGGGGAACTCCTGGTCATTGAGAATGGCAGGAACTGCAGTCTCTATGGTACAATAGCAAGAGATGAGACCAGTGAGGTGGAGAAGGTACAGATAGATCCCAAATGTGTCTAGAGTATGAAGCTAAGAAGGAAGAACTTTATTATGACAGTGATGGAGTGTCATTGAAAAAGTTTAAGCAGGGGAGTGACATGATCAGGTTTTCCTTTTAGAAAGTTCCCACATTAAAATGAATTGGAGGCTGGGCACGGTGGCTCACGCATGTAATCCCAGCACTTGGGAGGCCAAGGCGGGCAGATCACCTGACGTTGGGAGTTTGAAACCAGCCTGACCAACATGGAGAAACCCCGTTTGTACTAAAAATACAAAAAATTAGCCGGGCGTGGTGGTGCATGCCTGTAATCCCAGCTACTTGGGAGGCTGAGGCAGAAGGATCGCTTGAACCCACGAGGGGAAGGTTGCGGTGAGCTGCGATCATGCCATTGCACTCCAGCCTGGGCAACAAGAGTGAAACTCTGTCTCAAAAAAATAAATAAATAAATAAAGAATTGGAGGGGAGGCCAACAGTGCAGGGAGAAGTATATGAAATGTTGGAAACCCAGTTGGGAAAAGGTGAAGGCCTGAGCTAAGGCAGTACCCATGATGACTAAGAAAAGAACAGGCATTAGGTATTAGGAGATGTCATCTTCAGGATTTAGAGGCCGATTCATTGTATATAGAGGGCAAATGAGCAGAAAGAGAGAATTAAGGATTAACATCTGGATTCTAGCTTAGATGGATAGTAGGGCCATTTACCAAGCAAGGTAATGTATGACAGGGGTTTGGAGGGGAAGATTAGTTCAGTTTTAATTAAGTTGGGCTGGAATTGAGTTCAGAGTACCTGTGAGTTATTGATAAAGATCTGTCCAATAGACATCAAGACTTCCAAATGGGATCTGCACCAGAGTTGTAGATTAGAAGTCATCCATTGGTAGCCAATAATGATGCCCAAGGGTGGAGCTCTGGGATAAACTACCGTTTCTCAGGGAGTGGAGAGCCTGTGAAGGAGACTGATAGGAGTGATAGGTTGCTGGGAAGAGAATCAGGATTTGGTGGTACCACAGACACTAAAGGCAGAGAGGGTATCAAGAGGGTGAGGAGAGTTGACAGACTCAGCTCTTGCAAAGAGGTTGATTAAGATAACAGTGGGAAAGTATCCATTGGATTTGACATTGTGGAACAATTACAGAAAAGTAATCAGGGAAGTCAGACTGCAGCAAGTTGAGGAGGGGAGAGTGGGCCCGTTAATGCAGATTGCGCTTTCAAGAGCTTTGATGTCAAGAGGAAGAGAGAAGAAAATAAAATGGCAAAAGTTATCCAGAAAAAGTGAAAGTGTTTTAGTTTTGCTTTTTTTCTGGTTTGAAGATGGTACAGATTTGAGCACATTTATGTTTTAGAGGGGAGAAAGCCAGCAGAGAGAAAGAGAGAAAGAGAGATAGAAAGGAAGGAAGGAAGGAAGGAAGGAAGGAAGGAAGGAAGGAAGGAAGGAAGGAAGGAAGGAAGGGAAGGAAGGAAGGAAGGGAGGGAGGGAAGGAAGGAAAGGAAGGATTAATAGAAGAGTAGATACGACTGACAGTCCAACATCTCACCATGCATGCGCCATCTCCTTTCTGGAATGCTCCTGCATGCCATCTTTCCCTGGTCAACACTCTTACCCAGCAACTTAACTGCCACTGCCTCAGAGACTTCCCTTATTCTTTTAGCCCTCACACCTGCAGTTACCTGTTTAACATCTGTCACACTGCTAGACTATACTATAGGCAAAGATGATGAGTGTCTCATTTGTAGCACTAGCACAGTGCCTGGCACATAGGGGATGCTCAAATGTTTACTGAATCACTGTGTAATTGCACTCCTGGTGAGTACCAGGTCTATGTGTTATCAAGATCCAGTTCAAATATAATATGCTACTTATGGTCACTTATCAGATGATTTTCCGTGCTTTCTATCTGGCTATCCCAGCTTGGGCTGGGTTTAGGGCCACACAATAGGACTATAGAGCGTGTGGCTCAAGTGAAGGCAGGAAAGTTAAGAGACATTTTTTCGGAGAATGGACCTTGCCTTTTCTTCTCTATCTCTCTATCTTATTTCCTTACCAATGACTAAGCCATGGCAGGGACAACAGCTGCCTCAGTCTTTTTACCTTACCCTTAGACCCTAGACATAAATGTCTTATTCTAGAGAATTGTCTGTGATTAATTGATAGGCCAGGCTGTAAGGCTTCCTGGGAACTGAATTATTTGTAGTGGTGTGGTAATTGTTACTATTTCCGAGCTTTTATTAGGGTAAGAGTCTATTTAGAAAGTAGAGCCTTGGGCCAGATGTGATGGCTCCCATCTGTAATCCCAGCACTTTGGGAGGCCGAGGCGGGAGTATTACTTGAGCCCAGGAGTTTGAGACCCCTGTCTCTATAAAAAATTTAAAAATTAGACACTTGGTTGATGCACGCCTGTAGTCCTTGCTACTCAAAAGGCTGAGATGGGAGGATTGCTTGAGTTTGGAGGTCAAGGCTGCAGTAAGCCACGATCATGCCACTTCGCTCCCGTCTGGATGACAGAGCAAGACACTGTCAAAAAAAACCAACAACAACAACGAGAGAGAGAGAGAAAGAAAGAGAAAGAAAAAGGAAGAAAGGAAAGAAAGAAAAAGAAAGAAAGAAAGAAAGAAAAGAAAGAAAGAAAGAAAGAAAGAAAGAAAGAAAGAAAGAAAGAAAAGAAAGAAAGAAAGGGAAAGGAGAGAAGGGAAGGGAAGGAAGTGGATTCTTGAAGGAGCTGTCTGTCTCTATCACATGGAAGATTTTGGAGATGCCAGGCTACTTACCTGTGCTTCCCAGTGCCTCCAGCAAGGCCTGGCACATGGCATTCAGCAAATGCTTAATGAAAGAATGAGCAGGCAAATCTTCAGTTGGGTTGAAACAGGATGCTGTCAGTGATTCACTTATTCTGGGATGCACTTGTTATCAGGTTACCTTACCCTACTTTTATTTCTTGGCAAGAGCCATCTCCCACATGGCTGCATGTTTGGGGTTGGGTAGTGGGTAAGAGTTGGCAGCCCCCTCTTTATCTCACACCTCTTTTCTTCTGAAGTCAGTGTCTCTGAGGAAATATCAAAAAGGAGTGCTCCTTTTGCTGTGCTTGGCTGTGGGTGGAAGCACATTCTAAACTAAGCCTCATGATGAAGTGCTCTCATTACATTTTTGGCTTTGTTTTGAAGGCCTTGTACTTTGAGCATTGGCCACTTACTCAGATTGATTCAAAATGCCAAACCTTAATGGTTTGAATGTCACTAATTCTAATCCAGATATGGGTGAGAGGCAGATGGTGGGAAATGGTGACTGTGGGATCCTGCCCTCCTCTCCTGCCCTCCCAGGAGAGGTGATTTAGCAGCACAGGTGGTAACAGTTGCTAGCTGTTGGCCACTTCAGCATGGTAAGGGGCACACCTTGCCATCCTTTGATGGTAGATTGCGCTAAGCTGAGCAGCCTCATCCCCACCAGGATAGCCAAGCCCTCTGGCTGTTCCTTCATGCTGAAAAACAGAATAGTAGATTTATTTCCACCTCCTGTGTAGTGGCCCCATCTCGCCATCATTACCCCACCATTCTAGCAACTGTAATACCTGGTGCTGTGGACTTTCACCTCACAATTCTCTGCCTCCCATGAGTAGAAAAGGAAGCCAGAGCCCCTGGATCCACTTCAGTCTTTGCTGAATGTCACCCAGGTTTGAGGACAGGGGGACCAGAGATCTAAGGGAGAGAGAGCCTGTGGAGGAAGATGGCCAAGCCTGGGGTCCCTATGTGAGGGATCTGTAGGCTCCAGCCCTGTTCTCTCTCTCTTCTCTTAGGAGGTTTCCTGTGATTTACTTAGCTTTCTCAGTAGCATTCTAGATAATATTTATCGCTTGCTGACTCCACAAATGCTTTAGGCACTTCATTAGATATTAGATGCTTTATTATACATGATCTCATCACAACTGTAGAAATTGTTACCCCTATTTGGTTGACGAGGAAACTAATGATTAAGAGAGGATAAGTAACTTGTCCAATGTCAATAACAGCACATTGAAGACTGAGGATTTGAACTCAGCTCTCTTTGAAACAGAGTAGGTGCTCATTCATTACTCTGCACAAATGCCCACAGCCAATGCTTATAATACCTGGACTCCGTGGCTCCTTTCACTTGCATCATTGCAGTCTATGCTTCCTTCTCACCGTGGGCCTTCAGATGTACTCAGATAAGACCGGGGGAGAATAACTGTAGTCAAGCAGGGTCATTGGAAGAGGGGTCAGATAGGATGTGGAGCAGAGGGATGGTAAAGAATTCAAAACCTAACTTTATCATTGCTCACCAATTCAAAAAACAAAACCAAATTTAGGATGGATACAAATGAGGTCAGAGAAAATCCAGGCCACGAACCTCTGCAGCTCTTTGCCAGCCTCATTCAGAGCTGCCAGCGAATGTTCAGTGATGATCTGTACTTTGTGTAGCATGATGGCAGCCATCCCTGGGTTCCCATGTGTGGAATGTGCTCGTGCAATTGATTCATTCATCAGGCTCCATTGAGACCCTGTGAACAAAGAGTTGAGGAAGATAAAAAGACACACAAGACACAGGCCCTACCCTCAAGGAGCTCACAGTGCAGGAGGTGAGCGAATGTCTAGATTCTTTCTTGACTTCCATCAAAGAGATGTTCTTCAACATGTAAGATTCATCGGCAATGCCAAAAATGGAATTCTTGAAGCAGAAGGTTGGTCAAGATGACCTCTAAACCTCTTTTCATCTCTAAGCATCTATAATCCCATGAATCCTGTAGCTTAACCTTTGAAGAAGAAATTGCTTATGTCATTACAATTTTCCAGTAAAAGCACAGCTACTGTTAGCATTGAATATTTCAGAACAGCCCTGATTTCGGATATCATGTCATAAATAGATGTGATTGGAAGACTACATTTAGTAATTGGTCTCTTTAAGCATGTGTCTTTCTGCTTCAAGAGACTGTTCCCTGAAACCTGTGGTGTTTGCAGTCCTCTGGGCCTTTGCTTCCCTGGCTGTGTGGCCAGGAGCCACTCAGGGGCTGCTTGTGTGTGCTCCGTGCGTGTGTCTGCTGCTAGTGCTTCCCGGCGGACTGCAGCTGTGGGATGATCATATGCTTCAGCATGCCTTTATATAGTATCTTTTGCCCATGTGGTCGCAGTCAATCCAATTTAATTCAGATCAGCAAAAGTTACTGAGCACATGTGCTAGGCACTGTAGGGGATATAGAAACAAATGGCACTATCAGACATACTCGAGTAACTATAATGAACAAAGGAGACGAGTAAAAGGGAACTAAAGAGGCCTAAACAAAGGACTGAGCGAGAACGGGATGGAAGAGAAGAACTGTGCCTGCAGCAAGGTAGGAAGAGCTGGGAGAGTGGGAAGTGTGATGGAGCTAGCCTAGAAGGACCTGGAGGCTCAGATGCATGGAGCATGTCAGGTGGTGGCCACAGCCAGAGCGACAGAGGAAAGGAGTGGAAGGGAGGGGGCCAGGGAAGGGGGAGACCCACGGGGAGGGCCAGGCTTGGGTCAGCGGGGTAAGGGGCTCCTCATTGTGGGTGCGATTGTTTTATAAGGGCAGTGCAGAGTGCAGGGCAGTGTGTGTGTGTGTATGTGTATGTGTGTGCGAGAAAGAGTGTGTGCCTGTGTGTTGGAGAAGCAGCAGTGGGAATAACTCAGTTAAAAATTCAGGACTGGCAACACTGTTGAGAACGAGGGTTGAATTATAGATATCTTTTCTGAGGAAAGAAGATTAAAGGAGAGGTTTTCTTTTTTGTTTTGTTTTTCATTTTGGCTGTTAGTTTTAAGTAGGTCATTGGAACCTCCAGTGGTTGGAAATTGCAGGGCAAGGGGGTGTTGCATCCGTTCCAGGAGCTCTCTTCCCCCGGTGCTCGGTCCTGTGCTCCTCATGATTTCAGGGGCACACTGCTATTTGGCCCCATTATTTTTACATATACTTGCCTGTAACAATAAATCCCAGGAGTGTTTGTAATTGATTAGTACAAATAAGTTGGAGATGAATTACTCTCTCCCTTTGTTGCAGAGCCCACGTTTCCTTCCAGGATCTGCTCCTCGGTCCCTTTACTCTATTTCCTGTTCATCTGCCCTTTCGTCCTGCTCCTGCTTCTGCTCATCTCCCTCCTCTGCTTATACTGGAAGGCCAGGAAGTTGTCAACACTGCGTTACAACACACGGAAAGAAAAGGCTCTCTGGGTGGACTTGAAAGAGGCTGGAGGTGTGACCACAAATAGGAGGCAAGATGAGGAGGAAGATGAAGGCAACTGAATCCCAAGAGGTACCTGCAGTCAGTAAGGAAAGGTGGGGGCTTTTTAATTCTGCTAACGGGGGTAAATGAATCTTGGTTCTGTCCTCAATGATGTCTGCGGTCTTGGGCAAGTTACCTAGGAATCAGAGGGAGCATTCACTGAGTGCTTATTGGTTCTATGCACTGTTAGGTGTTCCTTTGTGTCTTACCTCATCCACCTCTTGTATCCTCCCCTCCTTGGAACCAGATAGCATCCTTACCCTACATCTGTTGAAGGTTCAGGTCCCTAGGCTGCAAGGAGATTAGAGGCTCCCTCACACAGCCTCTGGAGAGCTAAATGAGATCCTACAGCTATGCCCTGGTGGGGCTTCTCTCTCCTTCTTGTGTCACTTGTCACACCTGCTCTAGGTAATCATTTTCTTCCAGATGAGAGGTGTAGGAAAGGACCTGATGCCAGCAAGGCAAAAGGAATTGGGAACATGCCCTTTGTTTACCTAAAATTTGTCCCCCCCAACAAGAATGTAGCTTCCTTCAAGGCAGAAATCCAATTTTCTTCTCCCAGCCCACCTACAAAGGCCCACTCAAGAGCAAGCTCTGCGTAATAGGTGCTTAATTAATATAGGTTCTTTGACAAAATGATAAAACATTTGTAACCTGAGTTTGGGTTTTTTTGTTTATTGTTTGATAAGATTTATTAATTAATTGCTGAGCAAAAACTTTTTAAAAACTCATGTAACAGTACTCCAGTCAGCCCCCCAAGGCCTTGTACCCCTGCTTCCCCCCACACCTCCATACCCGCACCAAAAGGTCCATCTGGCTCCTGGTGCTCAGCCAGTGCCTTATTTTCTTTGACCTGACAGCACTGGGTGGTAGGGAAGGTATTGTTTTGAGGAGCGGGGTTGACAGTGCCACCGTTCCCTCATTCTCCTGCAGGGCTGGGGTTCAGGGGCAGCAGTAGGTCAAGTCTGGTTCCTCAAGGTCTCCTATTCTCAGTTGCAAAAAGCAGGCGGTGGGGGTGGGGTGTAATGGCTTAAAGCTTTCAACAGCTGTCCCCACTGGGCTTGCAGTCCCCTCATCTTTGTTTCAAAAGCTGCTCAGGCCCTGTTGTAGCCAGAATTGGAAATCAATCAGTGCCACCTAACAGACTTGAGAAAACACATCTATTTATTGTCTATGTGACCAATTGAGTTGCTTTAACACTTGTTAATTTGCATTTCCAAGGAGAGCAATTTAGTTTTAATTATTTGATCAGGCACACACGTCCTCTCCAAACATAATTAGCTCCTTCGTAAGGGGATTATTGGTGGCTATGAGCACTCCTACTGTGGACCTACCAGTTCCTTAAACTCATGTCCCTTCATAGCCTGATTTAAAATACTCCAAATCCTTCCTTAAACATGTCAGCACATTTGTTTCTTGTCACCCAGGTAAGGGAGCATATTTTTACAAACAACAAAGCTGAAATGAAGACTTTTTTTTTGAGACGGAGTCTCACTCTGTCGCCCAGGCTGGAGTGCAATGGCGCGATCTCGGCTCACTGCAAGCTCCGCCTCCCGGGTTCACACCATATTTTCCTGCCTCAGCCTCCCCAGTAGCTGGGACTACAGGTGTCCACCACCACGCCCGGTTAATTTTTTTTTTTTTGTATTTTTAGTAGAGATGGGGTTTCATTGTGTTAGCCAGGATGATCTCGATCTCCTGACCACGTGATCTGCCCACCTCGGCCTCCCAAAGTGGTGGGATTACAGGCGTGAGCCACCGCGCCTGGCCGAGACTTCTTAGAAAGTATGATGACCCTGTGCCACTATTTTTTAGAAACCTGTATTTTAATTCAAAGGGAAAGAGCGCAGAAGCGAGCCTGGGCCAAGGATCTTGGATGGACTCTGCTGCAGCCCTCTGTGGGAGCACTCTTCCCCCCATCCCTCCTCTCTCCTCACATGGACACCTCCTTCAGCTTCTGCTCAAACACCTCTTCCCCTTTGAATCCAGCACAGAGATAGCACAGAGGAGATGTAAGCAGACAGGGAGGGTCTCCTGGGAATGTAGACATTTAACCAACTTGAGCAATCGGCTTGTTTTACAGCTTCCTGCCTCGCTGCCTGTTTCTTCCCAAGCCCCGTGTGGAACGTGGTGACCTAGTCAGCTGGAACCAGCTCCTGACAGACCCTGGCAACTTCTAGATGAACTCGAGTGAACTTTCCTCATTACCATCCTCAAGTCACTACCCTGGGAGCTACAGCTTCATGACCATAACATGTGACCTATGCGCTGGCAGCATGACTCACTGAGGCTGCGCCACTGGGACCCCTCCCTGCATGCACCGATGCACTCTCCCCCCTCTCCATCACCCCATGAAACCCTCCTGTCACTTTCCTTCAGAGACACCGCTTTGGAGAATATTCCCAGCGCTCTCCTTGCTTGTGACAAGTGAAACAAACTCCTTTTGATCAAAACTCATGTTCTTGTGGAGTCATTTGTTACCCACCAGGCAAACCAACCCCGGTTTTTTCAGGGAACAGAGACCCTCAAATATGAAACTGTTCTGGCCAGAGCAGAGCATAGGGAAGTATGAGTTCCCAGGGGGTACCTGCTGCATGTCAGGCCCTGTGCTAGGAGCAAGGGGTCCTGTGGTGACTCAGACACAGTCCTGTCCCCCTGGGATGCTCACCTTGTTTGTCCTGGATGCTCTGCTTTCATGAATCGGACTTAGAGCGCCTTCGATATTCTAACCAGCTACATGGCACTGTTTGTCCCATAGGCATCTAAAACCCTCCAGAACTAAAACACCCCCACAGTATTTTCTTCCTTTTAAACTTGCAGAATAAAATTTGCCCTGATGCATTTCAGCAGACATTTTATACCTCTTCTCTCTCCAATTACATATTTGTTGACTTTTGGTTTTTGAAACTTACTGGAGAGCTTTACTTTTACTCATTGATTTCAGCTTTTCCATTTCATGGAAACCACCTGGTTTTACTTTCGGCTTTTTTGTATTATAAATCCTCCTTGGCAAAAGGACAAGCCTCTGTCTCAGGAGTTGACCAGCCAGGGCCTATGAGCCAAATGAAGCCCACCATCTGTTTGTTTTTTAAAATATAATATATTGGAATATGGTCACTCCCATTCGCTTACATACTGTCTGTGGCTGCTTTCACGATAAAAATGACAAAGTTGTGTAGTTGCCACAGAGACCATATGACCTACATTGCCTAAAATGTTTATTACCCAGCCCTTCACAGAAAACGTTTGCCAGCCCCTGCTGTCCTTTAATGTTCTGTCTCTCTCAGCCATGTATTATGTCCCTGGGAAACTGATTTGACCTCTTATATCTGAATCTCTTATATATCTGATTAATCTAATAATCTTAGGCTTTCAGGATTGGCATCTAGTCCCAGCCATTCTGAAGTTCGACTCCACTGTACCAGGCTCATACTATAGATGGGAAGCTTATCAACCCGCAGCGTTTCACATCATCATACTGAGTACCTACTCTGTGCAAGATAAGCTGACACAGAGATGATTAAGGTGTGGTTGCTCTGTTCATTATTTTTATTGTATTGAAATGTATAGAAAAAAAATGATTTATGGCAGAAGATGAATACAATGGCATAAAGTCATGTGCCATAATTTCTTACAATTGTACAGGATTTTTTCATCATCTCAGAATTTTACAGCATCTCTATACAAAAGGAATTGTTATTCCTGTCCAACAGGTAAGGAATTAAAGCTCAGAGAGGTTGGGATTTATCCAGGATCACCCAGCCGTATGCAGAAGAGTAAAAGCTCAAATTTGGGTCTGCTGACAAGTCCTGGACTCTTTCCACAATAAACACTATGCTCAAATCCATCGCTATCGGGGAAAATCTGGATATAATAATAGCTACCTTGAGTGGTTGTTATGGTGATCAAATCAGATAAATCAATGGAGATAAGTTTTAAAACCATATCAAGTCATAAATGAATGTCAGCATTAACCCAAGTTTTTCTAGGACTTAACCTGTCCATGTACACAAATAAAATATAATCAATAGTAATAATACAAATTCTACAGGCTTTTCCCCCAGGATATTTACACAGGGTCTTGACTATCTACAGTGTCCTTTAGATGTTTCTGGGGGATTCCCCAAAACTCTGGGAATTTTTTTTTAAAGAGATGAAGTCTCACTATATTGCTCAAGCTGGCATTGAGCTCCTGAGCTCAAGTAATCCTCCTGCAAGAGCCTTCCAAGTAGCTGGGACTGCAAGTACACACCACCACGTCTGGCCTGGATTCTGTGAATTCATATGAGCTCACAAGCAAGTCCATTCCCATGTGGTTCCCTGCAGCTCTCTTGGGCTCTGCAGGCTCCCACTGCAGCTGGCGTGCTGGAGCACATGAGATGCCAAGCTGAGTGGTGTTCAGTGGTAAGCAATGAAAAGGGTCTCATTCTCTTTCTGTCTTTACATTACATTCTTCTGTAAGGATACAAATTCAAGATTGTTTGCACCCCCGTGTCTCTAAAGATTATCTTGTGAAAACTGTTCCATTAACATTTGCCCAGTATCTCCTTTCTCCATAGAGTCCAGACATGAGTAAGTCTGTGGCCAGGCTGGGAAAGACTTCATGCTATTCTCTCCATTTCTCATTCCCTGTTCCCAGCAGCCTCTGCACTAACCTCCTCATCACAGGTCCTCTTCTCCTCCAGCAGGAAGGTTATACAACTGTGCTGTTGGGGAGGCTCTACCACTTGGCAGACAGAGCCTGAGAAGTCTGCATTCCCTGTAGGCTCAGGTGGGACTTCTGTTACACTGGCCATTCATTTTTACTCCTAATAAAGTGCTACAGGCCTTTAGAAAACAGAGACAACTTCATAAAGAAGATGTAAGTTGAATTGGGCTTTAAAAATAAGAAAATATTTTGACAGGAGAAGGGTTAAGTAGGGGTCTGGACAGAGGAAGCCCCATGAAAACTGCAGTGCACAGAATAGCTTTGGGGTTAAGTGTCAGATGTATGAAGGGAAGCAATGGTAGATAAATCTGGAAAGGTAGTTAGAGCAAAATTCTGGGGTTGGGGAAGGACAGAAGAACAGATCTTGAACATGCATAATATCTTGAACTTCATGTGGTGGACAACAGTGAGCCAGTGAACGTAATGTAGTCGGGAAGGAGGATTGAAAAGCAACAGCATAGATGATAGGTGGGGTTGGAGTGAGGACGGCAGTGGTATGAAGGTGAGTCAGGGAAGCCAGCTGGAAAACTATCTTCACTCTTCATTTGTGTAATGGCTATAACACCAATTTTGTGAGCATTTTGAGTATAGAAAAAAATTATCAGAAAGTCTCAAGTATCTTATCAAGCTCATAGAGGTACCTCCTATATATTTGTTAAACACAATGACACATTATGAGACTCTTCTTGTGTCTAATAAATGTTTATTAACCTAGTTTCTACTAGTAAGTGTAGAGATAACAGACAGTTCCACCCATTTATATTAACTGGCTTTCCATTTTTTAAAATTATTCACCTTTACATTTAATTTACTTGTTAGAAATTTGGAGTTTCTACTATATTGTCTCTTAATCCAAGGCTCCTTCTGAACCGGCTCTGACTGCCAAATAGAGATGTTTTGAGTTGAAGCATAATTATCACATTAAACCATTTACCGAGACAAGAGACTATATGGGATGAGGACAGTGATTAAGAAGTTTCTATGTTATAAATAACCAGCATAGGAAAATCCAAATTTATTACTCCTATAAGGTCACATTGGCAAGGGCACCGAGAGGGTGTGTGCTTCCATTTTAAATTGGCTTTTCAATAATAGGATTCTTGGTGGACTTATCTCACCCTGGTCCCTTTCTGGGGACCTTGTGCTCCAGCCACACCAAATTACTTGCCAGGTAATTACTCCCCAGGTCTCTACCAAACATGCCCCTGATTTTGTATCTTTCATTTGGAAATTTTCTCCTCTTGTGTGATCCTGTTCATCCCACTCAATTGACTTCAATATGTGTTTACTGCTAAGTGTGTCCACATAAGATACCAGGGAAAAACAATACTGTTTGTTCTTTCATTTGCATCTTCTGGGCTGGATCATGTTCATATAGAAAGTTGTGATGCAAACCAAGATCTCAGAAAGCTCCCTACCCTATCTCATGCCCTTTGGTAATTATAAGATTTTGAGCTCCCATAATCTTATCTTGGGTCCTGTCTCCCAAAACCACACTCTGCTGGGAGACATTTCTTGGTGGCCTGATGTGCATGCGTGGCACACAATTACATGAAAGAGAAAGTAATGTGGAAGCTATCCTATGGCACTGGTGCAAGTTTAAAGCCTGCTACCTTCTGCTTTTTATTGTTTACATAGGTACTTCTTCAGTGTGAGGGGTTTTCAACATTTTCCTCATGATAACAGTCATTATTGAGAGGCTCAGGCCTATAAAACAAATACATACTACGACAATAGCAATAAATGTTCTTTGATGACACGCATATGTATATATGCAGTGAGTTTCCAATCAAAACATATATCAGTAATAGTTACTTGGATACAATAATACTATAGACCAGGGATCATAAACTTAGATGTTTCAGCATCTAAGGTAGGTAAATGAAGAGAAAGTATCGGTCTGGAGAAAATCCTTAGAGAGGGATGAAGATTAGAGCAATTGGAGCATGCATATCTATTGAAAGGCACTTAAGTTCAACATCAGATACAAGACATTGTGCAAGGTAATCAAAACACTTTGAGGGGTGGAATTCTGTTCCTTGTAATCCCTGCATCACATCCTAAAGCCATCAATAAATGCTAAAACTCTGCCATCAAAATAGCATCTGAAGGTTATGCCTATATCTTAAAATTGTGAGTTACTGGCCTATGGTTTCTTCTAAAAGCTTCACTGTCTTACCATTTTAAAATAGTTCTAAAATACATGTAAAATTGATTTTTATATACGGTAATTTTTGTATAAAATATGAGGTAGAATTCTCATGCACTGCTGATGGGAATGTAAAATGGTACAGCTGCTATGGAAAACAGAATGGCAGTTCCTCAAAAATTAAAAATAGAATTACCATATGAGCCAGAAATTTCACTTCTGGGTATATACCCAGAATAATTGAAAGTAGGGGCATGAAGAGATATTTGTATACCCCTGTTCATAGCAGCATTATTCACAAAAGCCAAAGATTGGTAGAAGAAACCCAGTGTGCATCAATGGATAAATGGATGGATAAATAAAATATGGTATATGAAAAATAATACAATATTAGTCATCTTTAATAAGAAAATAAATTCCAACACATGCTATTGACATGGATGAACCTTGAAGATATTATGCTAAGTGAATAAGCCAGTCACAAAAGGACAAATGCTATATGATTCCACTTATATAAGGTACCTAAACCAGTCCAATTTATAGAGACAGAAACTAGAATAGTTGTTGCTGGGCCTGAGGGAGGGGTGATAGGGAATGATTGTTTAATGAGTTATACAGTTTTAATTTGGGAAGGTGAAAAAACTTCCGGAGATGGATTGTGGTGATGGCCGCACAGCAATGTGATTGAACTTAATACACACTGAGATGAACACATAAAAATGGTGAAAATGGTAAATTTTATGTTACATATTTTACCACATTATAAAAGTGAGATAAATATCATGGTTTATTTTGCTCCATATGATTATCCCATTGTTCCAGGACCATATTTTTAAAAAGAGCATTCTTTCCCCACTGTAGTGGCATCCATAACATAAATTAGGTGAATGTTATGTTTTTATGTATTGTTCAAGAAATCTTTGCCCATCCACAACAGTCTGCAGTAATACATTAAATCACAACCAATCATGATTTAATAACAAT